AGCAGTGTTTTACGCAGAAGAGGGAGGGACTTTGAACTATTCCAGTAACACAAGAGGCAGTTCAGTCAGTTATGTGATCACAAGTGGTGACAGAGGATAAACCTGGCAGTAACCTCATTTCAAACATTACCGATCATCAAGATTTCTGCTTTAGGTAATTTAAAAATCAGATGAATGACCTTCCTGAAGTTTTTGTCAAAGTTACAACTTTAAAAAATTGATCAAACATGGTCACTGAAACCTATCAAAATCTCTCACTATGTTAATATCCAAAAGGGCAAACCCGAATCTTTAAAGGATATTCAGGGAGACTTTGGCACCTTCTGACTTCATCAGGACAGAAAAGTTTAAATGTTTGAGGTTTATTCACAGGTGTCTAACCTGTATAAGTAATGATGCATCCAGGTGCTACAGCACAGAATGCAGAGAGGACTGTCGGGCTGTGCATCAAAAATGTCTTTGAACCAACATGAAATTACTTGAAATAAAAAATTAATGAAATCAAAGTTAGTATTTTAATTCAACATTTTATAGCTGGATTCAGTCATTTTACTTGTTTCTGAGACAGATTTATGTGATCTGATAAGAAACTTTTGTTCAGTTGCCCTGTGGTGCTCCATCCTTTATATATATATTTAAAATTAATGATTGGGGCACCTTCCAACATTTGCAGGTTGTAAAAAAAGTTATATTTCTATTCCAAAGGCACAGTGTACATAGATATTACTACAACATTCTGAGTCCATTTTCTTCCCTTTTTTATTTATTTTTTCAACAGAACAATATTACTAGTACAAATAAAGTAAAAAAAAACAAAAAACAACATAGTTACACAAGTGCAGACTCCCTACTTGTCCTGTAAGAGTAACATTAGGCCAATTCATAAATTTCAGTGACACGGCAAGTTTGTTATATTATACTGTGGGCTCTTTAAATCATAAATATGTTGACATGAATAGAAGCAACAATAAATCAACACCATTATAAGCATAAAACTCTATTTTCCAACAAGAATAAGCTGCATTTATCAGAGTAAAAATCGCCAACATGCTGTTTATTGAACTTCTTTTAAATGTAAAAATGCTGCAGACACAGATAAAAGTACATCCACAGGGAGTGCAGCCTTGCGTCTGTTTTCTCCCTGATAATAATGAAAGAAAAAATAACAATGGTAGAGTAAAGCATAAAGGACAAAATCAGCAGCTTGATGCATTACGTAAAGCTTCAGTTTTTATTGTTCAAATGTGAAATCAGTAAAGTCTGAAAATGGATATTAGTTCAGTGGTTTAAAAAGATTGACTTCATCCACACAATCATGACTGATGTCCTGGTTGATGATGATCATTGTGATTGCAGCTGTCATCCATTTGA